GATGCGGTCTCCTTATGTAGGTGCATAGTTCACGTTAGGTCTGTTTAGTTTTCAGTACAAGTTAACTTTGACCAACATTTAGCGAGATATGGTTTAGCGATGGTAACAAAATACTTTGCCTGTCTTGGCGGTGCCATTAGGGGCATTATCTTAGGCGGTAACTTTAAAGGGACACTTTTTTGGAAAATCTCGCTTAGAATATGAGTAATGATTTTATTTGTTAAGAAGTAACCGAGATGGGCTTGAGGGGAAAATGGTAAAAATTAGAGGAGAACTTTAGAAAAACTTAAAAATGATAAGAAGCTTGACAAACTTACCAATACATTTCAGAAGTTTGAGTGAGATTCCGGATCAAGACATACATGATTGCCTATAGGAGATTTCTAAACTAACAAAATTACAAAGTACTAAAGTTAGACCTCGAGTTAGAGTTTCCTCACACACAAGACGGAATCTGCACCAATTGAAGTAACCAAAGTAGAAGCTCAATACACAAAAATATAAAATCTAAAGAAGTTGTTGACATGTTTCCTCATTTATTAGGATAGTGGAAGTAATGAAACACCAAAACTAAGATCAAAAATGGAAAAAGGTTTGATTCACGTTATTAAATTCAAACCGGTGTCATATTCAGGAGACAACTCATACCGAATTCTGTAAAAGAAAAAATACTTCAAGAACTGCAACACGCCCATTTACGGATTGTTTTAAAGTGAGGGATGTAAGGAAAAACAATTCTCAATATTCAACGTTTAGAGTAAAATGATAGAGCTGCGCGATATCAAATTTATTTTTCCAATACACTCCTGCATTATTGTCCTGTTGGATGTGTTTTCATAGGTTGGTGAATTATTAACATAAACGTTTTGTATCATTCATATGGTATAAGACCGAACATTGAAGGTTACCGCACCTCATTTATCTCTGCTGTAGACGAATGTACTGGAGCTACAAAAAAAAGTGAATACATTCAATTTCTTATAGAGATATTTTTTATGTAAAAGTGCCAGTTTCTGACCTACAATGAAAAAACATAAACCAAACCCGCTTTTTTGAATTATTATAAAAAATAACAAACCTCCAGGGTCAAAATTTTGGAAGAAATTTTTATGGGGTCGTTTGTAATGATAAAAAGAAGCGATTGGCGAAAAAAAAACTTCCCTAGAAATTATTGAATTAATCACACAATTTATATTGTAGAAAAATCGCCACACCGCAAGCGTCTCACTCTACCGTGTTACAGTATACGCGCTGAAACGAGATGACATGAAAATATTGTATGAAAATGCTACCGTCTTTTCAAATTTTCACTTCACGTATCGATTAAGCACATTTTTAACACAACTTTTAATCTGGTACTCTATTACGCGATTTTGAGTGATTTTCGACATCTTTAGTTGCGTCTGCCTCAAAAATGTTACCAACCAATGTATCTGCCAATTTGGTTTGATTAACTAATGATGTTTCCGCATGTTCTAACACATATTTCAACTTGGGACTAATAACAAGATTGTAAGTCGATTTTTTCAAAATTCATCTTATATCAGCATTACCAGCGGCAGACGAGCAGTTACTATTTTACGATCTTACACACTAGTCCTTTCAATACTTAAACCATTGGTACTTTATCATGCGGTTTTTTATACGGCAGCTCTTGGTCTATCAGTTTTAAGTATATTCTGTATTAGATCAACCTGGACACCGCATATTTGTACCTTTTACAGAAATTTGATGCCTCTTATCTCACAAATCATTGAAAAACGAATCACTTTCAGAACGTTTGCACTCTTCCAATTTCTTTGAAACATTTAGAATTCCCTACAAATTCCTTTTAGGAAAAAAAGTACTATAGGCGCTTTGCGGGCAGTAACATTGCGAAACTTGGAAGAGCTACATCTTCGGACCAAACTGGTTTATTTATGAATGAATTTAAACTGTCACAAACCATGTATTTATTATAGCAAATTACAACTGGTGTTAAAATTCGCTTTTTCATTCTTCTCGGTCATATTGGTACAAGACAATTTATGGAATTGTAAACTTGAGTATAAATCACTCGTGTGAGTTGCTAATATCCTTAAATATATGCGTGTTTGCGAACTTTTATCTTTTGTGTATAATTAACTGACCTGAAGATACTAAAGCGCTGGCCACGAAAGTTATGAACACAAAAAATCCAATGATATGATTCAAGGTAAACCTCAAGATAAACATCACGATTTCGAAAAAACATGCATGTAGATCCGATTATTTACTGCAATACTTTCAAATGTTTTGTTGATATTATAGTCTGGTGTATAAGTCAAAAATATGAAATGAAGTTCGCACTTTGAGGTAAACTTGAAAATTGACGTAGATGCTCCTTGATCCTTTCTCTTCAAGATTATATGTGGCGCCACCATCGTTTCCCCCCGGAACTCGAGTTATAAGGAGTTGCCTACACAGTAGATGTGTTTTACGAAACCGACAAAAAGTTATCATTTGAGGAACTTTCGTTGGCAGAATGTATTCTTAGGCTAACGATACATGCTTCAAAGCATTAATGGAGTAATGGGGGGCCCAAATTACGGCTGGTTGCCTTACCTATCAGGATGTAAAATGACAATTTACTCAAATTTTCTTCAGATTTTGTTGTTTTTTTTCCTATTTTCCACCTTTTAAATCCAGATTAGGCTTTTTGATTATTAAAGTATGTTCTATAACATAGTAGACGTGCGCACGCAGTTATTTAAACCACACGAGATATCATTTGCCTATCCACGTAGGCGCTGCTTCAGAAAAAAATTCACTTTCAGTGGGCTTTTTCAAGCATAGTTTCCATGTATTGGCATACGAATGAAAGTTTCTCTGGAAACAGCTTTACCGAAAGGATGGCCAAATTTCTTGAGCGACAGTAGCAATAAAGAAGCGCTCTTCGGTGTTAACTAAGTGGGTGGTCCATGGGGTGATTTTAAAGTCATTACCACTAGTGTTGTGCAAAAACACGATTAATCGATAACTGATCGATAATTATTGATTAACTTAAGACCGATACATAAAAAAAATCGTATCGATTAATCGATAAATTAGTCAATTAAAAGTAGTGGTTTCCAAAAAAGCGATTAATCGATAACTTATCGTTTAATAACACTTTGACTTGAACTCCTGTGTCCATCATCTTGTGATTTTTGAAAACATCCATATTCAATTGATTTGGCATACTTACTACACACTACTGTTTAATAAATTATTTACAACAGCGCCTATTTCAAATACTCTCAAAAAAAACGAAGGTTCAGCAAGCGTTCGCTGTAGTTTACGAGATATGACAAAAAATATAAATAAAGTCAGATATCGATGGTCCTCTGAAATTATAAAGTGAATACTGTTGAGGCCTTTTTAAAAACAAATTAAAAAAACTTTGATGGTTCCTGCTACACTGAGCTTCTATAGGAAATCAGAAGGGCACACCATGTTACACACTTCTGAAAAATGGCAACATTACAGAATCCAATTGATTTTAAGCCCGAAACATCAGTATGGACTTTTAACTGATGGCAAATGGTTTGAAGGCTCACAGTTCCTAAGATCTGGAAAAGATGTCATTTTGGATAACCAGGATTCGGACGGTAATTTTTGATTTGTAAGTCTTGCACATGGTTTATTAAGTTTATCTAAATATTTTTTATTATTTTCAGTCGATGACGAGGGGTCTTAGAGTATGACGAAGATCAAGAAAATGAAGAACATGTACAACATACAGCATACGAAACTGATTGAATATTTTAATATTTGCTACAAACAAATTTTGTCTCATAAATATTAATACCTTTTGAGGCGACTCCTAAATTTATTATTTATAATAGTTGGTCAAGTCCCCCTTGATTAATCGGATAAATTGTCAACAATGCTCTAAGATATGTACTGTGTGAAAGTCTAAATAAAAGCGACCGATACTGCGCAGTGCGACGATATGCGCTCTTGGACCTGACATACTGTGATCTATATGTAAACAGTGCTAATTTAAATTGTCAGCTTTTTTTAAAATGTAAATTTTCCGATATTTTTCACATCTTCAGACTTTGTAGTTCAATGGTAGAGCGTTGGGCTATGAAGCCGGAGGTCGGGCGTTCAAACCTGGGTACAGGTAAGAATTTTTCATCTGTGACAGAGATGGGAATCTCCTTAGATCAGTTTCGAGCAATCTGTCGGCTACTCCGAATTAGGTTTTCCTAATTTTCGTAAGGTAAATACAGAAGTAATATATTATATATAAAAACTTCACTCTGTAATTGGGCGCAAGACTGATGAGGACCCAGAACATGGGAGGGATACTAATATAACTTCCATCTTTTAGCTCCCACCCCACCATAGGGTAATTTGTTATTTTATATTACTCTTCTGACAATTTTTTTAGTTGAAAAATTTAGACATTTAATTGTCCGCCCATGCCCTTAGGTTCCAGCACGTCTGCCTTCGTTTTGCGGATCTTTTCCGGGCAAAAATACTTCACGCTCCGAGGCATGTCGCCAGATCAAACTATAATTAGAACACTGGATTATGATGCAGATTCCCAATCATGCTAGATGATTCTTGGTTTCTTTTTCTCCTTAAGAGTACAATTTTGAATGGGTGGCTACATTGCCAACCACACACCATGAATAATTTGACCCTGATTCTGCATTGAAAGAAGTACTCTCTCATCATGTGACTATTAAAATAGTTAATTTTACCATAATGTATTCCAGTAGCAACAGCTACAATTAAAATAATTTTGATGTTCATTTCTGTACTGTGCAGTCATGTTGAATCCTTTACATTATTCGCTAATGTTTTTGAAAATGCCGCAAAAGGTGGTCCAACTCAAAAATCTAACCAATGCTCTACCACAAATAATTTCAAACAAAAAGTTGTTGGTATTTGTTGCTTGGTTCTGTATCTGTGTCCAGTACGTTTCACGATGATGTAATAACAAAGCCCTCTTAATGCATCGAGGGACTCGTAAAAAAAATGGCCACGAATATCATACAGACATTTAATACAAATATTCACTAAAAATAATTACAGTTAAGAGGGATTAAATAATTCAATGTGTCATTAACTTTCTAAACTACCTAAAGAATTACGCTAGAAATAATAAAGACGACACTATAGTAGAAATTCTTTATACTGCGAACAGTAAGGAAATACCAAACTATATCCTTGATATATAATTAATGCAATCTGTCAAACGTAAAAAGCACCATTCATAAATCCATTGTCATCTGTTACCTCTACTTTTTTATGTATGGTACCTTAAGAATATTAACGAAACTTTTGAAACTGAAACCTACACAAGGATTAAAAATCGACATTCTTAATTAATCTAAATGTATAGTTGTGTCAAATGTAATAAATTATATTATATTTCTTAGCCATGCACACGGCTAGTTTTGCACAGATTAGAAGCGACGTCTTTTATTGGGAAAATCGTCACGATTACCACCTCCACGGTTTTCTTTCACCCAGTGGCCCCTGCCACCGCCTGCATTTCCGCCACGCTGTCCCATTTCACGACCCTCGAAACGATGATTTCGATCAAATTGGTTCATGAATTGTTTCGGATCCTATATTGTATACACACAAAAGTTAGAATCCAGACATAATAAGACAATCTCTATAGTATTGCCTGTTAATGCGTACATGTTAATATAGATAGCATTAATGTTCAGTTTTGCACATCCTTATTTTCAAAAATTATTAGCCGCATTCTAGAAACATTTGTGTACAATAGACGTGTTCAGATTGTAGTCTCCGGAGTTTCGAATTAAAGATTTAAACATAAGCATAGAATGAGTATACGTAGAAGTCAAAAACACTGCAGATATTTTTCCAGCACATTTCGAATTTTATTTTCATTGTATCAAAGAAATGTATTTCTTCTTCTCATTTCTAGATGTAATAAGCCTATGCCATAACATAGTTCTAATCATCATTCTGATAATAAAAATTAATTTTGTATTTGCTCAACTTGTTTTATCATCAAAAATGTTCCCACAGATCATAAAAATGCAATTTATTATCAACCCCAAAATAATGAAACCAGAAGATTAAGTTTTGATGTTTACAACTTGCTTTGGCCTATGCTTCAGCGTGTAATTCTTAAGAATGCTTGATCAGCAGACATATCACATAATCAAAAATCATCATCATTATCGCATCACAAAAACAATTTCATTTGTTAATAAAGTTCGCAGAGATTTCATTCTACAGTCGTAGTTCCCAACACGAAATTCGTTCAATTCATACGAATTGTATAGATATAATAAAAGGATCATCAGAGAAATCTATATAGTAGTTCTAATCATTTTCAGCGCATTAACTTGCAATACTTCATTCGGATTGTCATTTTATGACTAGCAGTAAATGTTAACAAACAGCAATATTTTGCTTGTGAAACACTAATGGGAATATGGGATAAAAGGAAAGGAATAAATGTAAAAGTGGTAACTTCAATCTTATCTTCGGAAGTCCGACTTGGATCAGGTATACGATTGTAGTTTCAACCTTCACATCGTATACACATAAGAAATTGCTGTGTTTCCGCCACACAAAAGTTTTTGAGAGGAGTTACTAATCAACCACAATCCCAAAATAATATTTCATCTTAAGTCCAATTAGTTAACTTTCTGGATCTTCAAAACTGCGGTAAATATTATTTTTAAACCATACATACAGAAACTAATTTAACACAAATTACTATAACCAGTTTACAATTCCTACTACTGAGAGATATAAGAATTTTCTTATTTTTCAAGATCAGAGTGAGACTTCAGGATTTTTCAACGACGAAATATAAAATCAGTTTGATACAAGACGATAAGGTAATAACTTTAGTTTTATGCCATTTTCTGTAATATCAGTTTCATACTCGCAATAAAACACGCCAAGCTTCGGTTCAAAGCTACTGCTCATAATGTAGCACTACATTCTATTTAAACCTCTCCATTCAGTGTTGATCCATTATCACGTAAAGTTTCTATCTTTATTAAAATTCATAAGCACACACTGCAGTAAGAGGTTTGAACGGGTATAGTAAGAATTATGAAGAATTATTAATATATATTAGTTTGCCATAACTAAATATGTTAATACATGAGATGAATAATTGTAAATAAGCCGCATATTGGATGTGAGAGACCAATGTCACTACTAAGGAATTAGATTATATTAGAAAAATATACAACGAATCCACATTCATTTTGTTTGGAACCGTTGCGAAGACCATGCAAATCCCTGCCTAGCAACCTTAGTTGTAAATACTCGTGCATACAATTGTCTACCGAAGACCTTCTCAAAAAAGAGTTTCTGTTGCTATTCATGATAAGGTTTTCAAGTTAAATTGCGTAGAAGTGTGTCAACAGTTCTAAATGTGTAAAGAATTTTTAATGCATAAATTCACAATTCATCTTCTTTTAGGTATACTGTACAACGTCATCAAAAATGAGTTTGAATTAAACGTAAAGTTAGTGATTGCACATTGTAAAATTTAGCAACTTGTACTTAATAATCTATACTCATTTTTGATCACTTGATGCAGGTACCAAAGGTTACTAATTTCATTCAAGATAGATATATATACCAATCATCATACGGAATATACTTAGCTCATTTCTAGATTTAAATTCGTTTCTTCTTGAAATATGTACATTTCAGTTAACTGTCAACTAAGTTTTTTTCAAATGATAGTACAGTAGAAAATATCTCAGATACAGGAATAAAAGCATTTTCATATATTGTCAAATGCTTTACAAATATTAAACCTACATATCTTTTGTAATAAAATAAGCCAAACTTTTATCTCCCATATAACAATAATACGTCGTCTCCCTTATACACATAGAATAACGTGCCACCGCGAAAAGATGTAGTTTTAATATAACCTATCAGCAATAGGAATTCATCAAACTCAGAAATAAAATAATTTGCATTAAATAGTTTGCTCATAAATTATTAACGTCTTTCTGTAGTATTCTTCCAAATTTGCCTTCCAGTGAGATAGATGTAACTTGTAGTATGATCGCTACACAAGGAATTTATTAAGAGGGAATAATAATGTGGGCTAATAAGTAAATTTAAACTAATATCTTATTCAAACAATAGATAACAAAATTTCAAAATTTTAGAATAATTTAATAAAAATTAGTTTAATTACACTTATTAACCCTTCACAAGCGGACACAATAGTTGAAACATAATGAACATTGCACTAATAAATACGTACCATTGTTGCATTTCCACCTTGTTCAGCATTCACTGCAAAGAGAAACAAAAAATTATGCCTGAGATTTTGTTACGGATAATGAGTGGTTGCGAATAACCACTTCTATTTCACTATACGAAATATTATGTGGGTGTAGATTTAACTGCATCTGCACAAAATAATTCGGATATAATCATTTTCAAATCACCATCTTGGGTTAGGTATATTCAAAATTTTATTTTAAAAAAGTTAATAGGAAACCCAAACGATTTAGAAACAAAATAATAAATGTAGGTGTAAATAATCATTAGTTGATTATTCCGCATAAACAAAGCAATCTTCAAAAATGAAGTAAGACTGGGCAAATAAACAATATAAAAGCTATGGTATATTATCGTCAGGAGTAACTACCGTAACATTATAAACCTACTGTACATTTCATAGAGATCAGATTTTGTGGGCAGGAATTCTAAACTTAAACAAACTCAGAAGGTTATACCCTAAAACATAGTTGCAACCTTATCGTCGCTGAAAAAAATTGACGAAACGCAACTTTTAGATTTTTAAAAAATGTGTGTCTCGAATAGAAATACCATACACCGATGATGTAAGCATATATACAGGGTGAGTTTTTTTTCATTTTAAGCATTAGGATCTCGGAAACCGTAAGACATAGAGATTCGGTTAGATGAGAAATGACTGGTAGTTTTAGGAGCTTATTCAAGATATGCTTTTGTTTTTTGAAAAAAATCCACAGTTTACTATTCAGAGATTTTTCATTTAACTGTTGTAGAATCGTTAGTATTAGAAATACAGGAATATGCAAAGAACAAAAATTGCAGATTTTTTCCGCTTAATAAGATACATTTATTAATATTTAGTTTTCTTTTATAATTTTCGAGTTATAACACAAACTTACATTTTTTTTAATGATATCATAGTTGGCTGTGACATTTTTAAAAGTGAATTTTTTTCTGTTTACAATGATATAAGGTTCATTGTAGTTACTTTGATAAATAAACATGATACAGAACTGTTTGTATTAAGAGTAGTAAAAACAGATTTTGGGAAACATTTTTGTTCTCTTAATTACTGTCTATTATATTATTTATCTTGCAGTTAGTTGTGCGGTGGGGTACCGTTGTTTTGAAACCAGCGTAAATTACGTCGTGTTTCCAAATCTAACCCATCCTACATATCTTGAAATTCATTTGGTAGGAAATGAAGATAACATTGGCCAGTCCAATTTTCGTCGTAAATGAAAGATACCTATCTCAATAGATATTGTTTTCCATGACCAACTCTGTTTACTTCCTCTCAATAATACAAAAATTACTGCAGGGCGTTTATTTATTAAAGTTCATTTAGCAAGCCTTATATCGTTATAAAGAGAAAAATTTGTCCTTTTTAAAAATGTCAAAGTCGACTATGACTACCATTTAAAAAAATTAAAGTTTGTATTATAACTCAAAAATTGTAAGATCTAAAAATAAATTAGTATGTTCATCATGTTAAGCATTAAAATGTGTAAAACTTTTATTCGTGTCATTTTGTTATATTTCTAATAATAACGATTCTACAACAGTTAAATGAAAAATCACTAAATCTGTTTTTCGCTCATATCTGGTGAACTGTGGATTTTTTCAAAAAACAAAAGCATATCTTAAATAATCTCTTAAAACGACAACTCTTTCCTCATTTAACCGAATTCGTATGTCTTATGGTTTCCTAGATCCCAATGCTTAAAATGAAAAAAAAACTCACCCTGTATATAAGCGATAGAGATTCACTAATACCACAGATCTACACATACACAGATTGCTAACCTTATGCATTTTTTGGGAAACAAATTTAGGTATACTTAAAAGCGCCCTCTATTGCGGAGCAGTATAAACATGTATCGTTTAAAACTGTAATATGATGCTTATGGATTTATGCGTTAGATGTCGCTGAAACAAAATTAAAGCGCTAAAGTTTGCACAATTCGAATTCCTTAATATTCGTATTATTACAGTGGTATGATATGATAGGAGGTACGTTGAGCCATAATTGTTTAATTTAACACTGGAGCTACTCATTCGTCGTAAGGAAGTTATTAAAAGCGGGTCCCTGTGGTCACAGATACACACGAACATAGGGCAGGTCCTTAAAGAATTGTGAAGGTTTTTTGAAGTTGGCGGACACTATTTGCGGCTTTAAAGGTCTTGACAGATTGCGAACCGCAAAGGCATACTTACAAACTATGTATATCTCTGCCATCATTAACGTTACACTCTTTACCACGCCGATAAGATATAAGATAGGGAGGTTATTTTCGAAAAGTTGATAGTTTTCGAGTTGTAAGCACAAAACTGCTAAAAAAATATCTTATTCAACTTTTTTTGTATTGTTTTCAATGTTGCGTCATGAAATTTTGTTAGCAAACCTCAGATTCGGATTCAGCACCCCAAAAAACATATAGAATCAAAGAAATCAAAACTACCCCACAACCTTCCTGGTAAAAATACAATTAAACTGGATTATATGCACACTTTACCGCTTTAAATTTTTTGCAGCGACATCTAATGCGTAAATCCATAAGCGTCATATTACAGTTTTAAACGGTACATGATTATACTGCTCCGCAATAGAGGGCGCTTTTAAGTATACCTAAATTTGTTTCCCAAAAAATGTATAAGGTTAGCAATCTGTGTACGTGTAGATCTGTGCTAATACTGATTAATTTTGGTACCTCAGTGGTATTTCAAGACAAACTGGATTTTTAATCATAGAATGGAACGGACAACTTCGCCCACAACGTATCTTCATATGCATTGCAACAGATATCTATGTGCAAATAACAAGAGAACAATGTCCTCTGTAACACCAGGTTTACCAAACCCAGTAATTTATGTAGAAAAAATTTGATAATGTGCAACCTACATTCAAGACATGAAAACATGTTACTTTTCTGTCATTGCGGGTACATCTATTTAAATCTGATGGTTCATGATCATGAATGTTAGTACTCGTAGAATAATAAAAATATGTGGCTTGTTCAAATTGCAATAAAGAATAGAATTTTTCAATACAAACGCATTTGAAACAGTTAATATAGAATCCAAGGCATCTATGACGAAGGAAAAAACACCAGACAGAAGACTAAAATAATATAAGACTTACTGTTTGCGTTAAATATTCCACGTTCTGGTTGCTCATAAGCTTGTTCTTGTTGATCAAGCATGTCATCTAACTGATGTGCTTGCATAAAAAGGTTGTTTTCCTGCTGCCGACGACGCAATTCTTCCTCCTGGAGTAACATACGAGTCTGCATCTCTTCCTGTTGCCGACGCATTTGTTCTTCAGTCCTTTGTCTCGTCTCTTCTGCTTGACGTTCTTTCATTTCCCATTCGCGCTTTTGGCGATCTCGACCCATCTCGCGCGCTCGAAGTTCCTCTCGCAGCATTTCAGTTTCGTGTTCGTACCTTGCATATTCCATTTGAGCCTCCAATTTCTCTTTTTCCATGTCCAATTCCTTTTTCAGGGCCAGCTCTTTTTGTGCGAAGAGTTCATGCAATTGCTTCCATCGCATGCCGTATTCGTGTTCGAAGCTGTTTGGATTTGCAAATCGTGGCCCAATTTCTCGAGCTTTTGTGTATTCCATGTTCTTTTTCGGCATGGTTTTTTCGGGGCAGCCGTCTGCTTCGTCAACTGCATCGTATAGTTCTACAATTACGGGACGAAGTGAAGCCGTCAAAAAGAAGCAATCATCGGAGCATTTTCTTATGGCTAAAGTGGCGCTGCCTTTTCGTACATATTCAACAAGACCTTCACCGGTTGGTTTACCCCTGTCATCAACGATAACAATGCATCTTTCAATCTACAATTTAAAAATATGGTAATATTTTGAACGGATAATAGAATTAATTATACTTCTCCAAAGGCGCTAAAAGCAAAATACAAGAGCTCATTGGAAACAAATGGTGGCAGATTCCGAACTTTGACAGAGGAACCATTTGGAGCAAATCGAATTTTAAGCATTCTTCCTTTGAACAAACTACCGTCAAGTTCTCGCTTTGCTTTTTCAGCATTTACGTTGAAGTCCTATTAAAAAAATAATACTTTTTTGTTCTAAACGAGGTTCCTCCTTACCATTTTTATAAAACCGAAGTTTTTCTCTTTATTAACAAACAGTTCGTTTGTTTCACCATAATTCTTGAAAAGATCATGTATTTCTTCTTCGGTAGATTCGGTTGCAATATTTCCAATATACAAACGAGCTCGTCCAGAGAACTTCTTTTCAGCTGTGTCTAAGGGCGCAAGATCAAAAGTGGGACCAGACATTTGGGCCACTCTATCATTCAGGCGATCGTCGGGATTGCGATCACGTGGGCCTCTTTCGCCACCCTGCATTAGATTTCCGCCTCCACGTCCACCGCGTTTTCTTCCACCGCCGCCGCCACCACCGAAGAAATCATTTCGTTCGTTTTCATTTGCCTAAACGCAAGATAAATATTGTACTGCTAGATGACTTTTTTCAACGACAAATGGGCGAATGACAAATTTGTACTGGAATCCAAATAACTATTTTTCAAATAAAACTATATACCTTGACACCTTACTCTTAAACAAGCTGCACTTTATGAATCGCCGCGACCTTGTTTTTTGAAGTTAAGAAATAAATTTAAGCAATAATACAGGGTGTTCACAACGGAACAGTAAATTTTCCGAATTTCAAGTATCCATAAATATTTTTTTTCAAATGGAACTACTACTATCTTATTTTGATACTCAATTGTCTTTTGTGTTCAATTCTTCAATTTTTATAAGGAACGTCCTTCAAGAATAATGTCTATAGACAATAAAGTTGGCATTAGCTCAAGTGTGCTTATATTTTTTCAAGAGGTGTGAGCTAGGAAAAACCGACACACTGTTGCAGGACCGTGTATAACGCATAAAAGATGAAATTTAACGGGTTGCCTGGGCTTTTAGACATGTCTCGTTGATTTTGAAAACTCTTTTATTAAAATGCCGATCGAAATGTGGCTCATTGAACTAAATTTAATATCCGTAGGTCTTGGAAGATACAAACACGAATTCTACTTCATTTTTAAATGAAAAAAATGCGTAACTCTTGACAAAACCACGAAAAAATGGCTACCAGATATCAAGTTTCGCACAGATCAGAAGACGCTGATTTATGGGTCATCTGGTGAACAAGGCAACCGTAGCACACTGTTCGCTCCGTTCTCCTGTGTTATAGTTGGTAAGAAAAAAATTAAATATAAAACGAACATTTCCAGTTTCCATGTTAGATTCTCGTTTTATTAACAAGCTCCTAGCGAGTTTATAATTTTGCGGGGTCTGCCCGTCCATTAGCACGATATCTCGATAACGAATGGACCAATTACGATAAAATTTAGTAGATGGATTCTTTATCAAATTTGTAGATCGGAGTTCGTGAATTGGCAATGTAATGTTTTGACATCTCCGTGAGTTATGAACCGAATTGCAAACTTTTTATTTATGAAGGAATAAAAACAAATTTAACGCCAGTTTCAAAATTTCGTTTTGCGCATGCGCAGTGCCAACTTTCTTATTTATGGAAGCAATTAAATGAAATTTTATACATATACACTTTAAATAAAAGCAAAACTAACATCAGGTTTAAAATTTGGTTTTGCACATGCTATAGCCATACCCAGGAGCTCGTTTTCTATATTTGTTTAGACTATTTAATTCTTTGCACCCTAGTCTTTTTTACCATTCGCTTTATCTTTATAAAGGTTATATTCTAGCAGCATTGCATAATGAATATTATGCTAAACAAGTTGTAAATCAGCATATGCATGATTAAAGCGCATTTTTGGTAATACAGGTTAGTATTTTATTAGCGAAGTTTAAAATTATCGATCTCACGAGTAATTTTGGCTGCGTTAAATAATTAGTTTTATTTAATTTCAATGGAGGTACGTCTTTATTTTGTAAAACAAATCACAAAGTAAATAATTAAGTTTTTATACTGGTAGCGCCATCTAACGGTAAAATTATAGCACCTCCGAAATCCATATCGAAATTATTTTCTTAAATTATCGATCTCACAAGTAATGTAACTCAAAATAGACTAAAGCCTGCACATCTGCACTATAGCAGAAAGCTTTTAGTGAAAACTTGGAAGTCTCTAGCTATTGTAGTTGTCGAGATCTCACCCGGACAGCCGGCCACCCAGCCATAACCAATATAATAGCGTATTTTTTTAAAACGCGCTAAAAACCAATGCACTAAATAATAGACTCCGATTTAATAGATATATAGAAAAAGAATCTAGAAAATAACAGATCCATCAGTACCACTTTTGCAAAATTTTCACCTCGATTTTCACACATTTCAAGTACTTTTCATCTTACTATAACGGAGGTAATTGTGATTAACAGTAGGGAGATAACACATCATTACCTATATCTGTAACATTATAACCAAAACAGACAGCTAGGCGTCAATGCAGTGTCTGAATTGACTTTATCTGTTGCATCCTGTATAATCATACGTCCATTCAATGCCCCCCCCCCCCCGAGGTTTCGCTTTTTCCTGTAACTCCTCCATTTGGATTGGCTATTTTTATCCACCGCTAGTTAGTAAGCGAGGTGTATTGCATAGGAGTAAAAATGACCCAGAAATACACGTTTTAAAGCACCAGGAATATGAATCAAACAAAATCTAGATGATGTCGGTCTGTCCGTCTGTACCTCATTTCCGACTAAACGACAGAATCGATTGGCACCAAATTTACTACACATATTCTTAGATACAAAAGAAAGAGCTTATTAAATCTAAAATTTTTCCCGTGCATAATAGTACACTATTTTTTTCTGTGACAGGGAAAACGACAGTTGTATTGATTTATAGAAATTTGAAGTTTTAAACTGCAGATAGGCTGTTGTACTTCTCGCGACAATACAAATTGCATTGCTAAGGAAACCTTTGCTCAAATATCTGTCAATTCAGTTTTGTCATTTGATTTAAATATTTCGAATTTAATGATTGTTTAATAGTTATATTGAATCACATAAAGTTGAAAATGTCTGATTCTGAATTTTCTCTGACTTCACCTGAGTTAGTGAAGATAGTGAAGTGAAAGTAGCCTCACAAAAATTGTATATGCCAGTATAACGGGCGATCAAAAATGGGTTGCTGTCGAGTCGCCTTTGGAAGTTCAAGTTAAATACGATTTACCATGTAAACAAAAGTTCCAAAGGTGACTCGACAGCAACTCATTTTTGATCGCACAGTATAAGTATAAAAAGCAATTTCATAAAAAGTGACATTTTGTTACCTATCAACAGAGATAAAATGTCAACCGTTTTTCCCGTCACAGAAAAAAAAATTTTTTATTTTAAGAGAAAGCAGGGGCGTAGTATTTTTTCTCCAAAAATATTCAATGCAAAAGCCGTACGGACGCTACTGGTAGAGAAAATAAAAACTTACGCACATCAGAAAATGCGACTTGATGCATAGAAAACATATACCAAATTTCATAAAGATGTCTACAATATTATGTGTTATTATTAAAAAACTAATTTTTTTAAAAACTTTACCACCAGGTATCTCAAAAGTGAAAACGTTTAGGTTCGCGTTGAGGACATACGTTCATAGGAAGTTTTTTCTTAAAATAGGGCCAAGAATCACCCCCTTAAATATTAGCATATCTTTAAGGAACACCCTGTACATTTCATCGAAAATGACGCCGGATTACTGAACGTGCCAGACTAAGGAACGGCCGGTATTGCACTGTAATTGTAATTGTCTTAGAAATGACCAGTGACTGCTCATGACACATGAATTGTGAGACGCACTCGTGGGCCTCAGATTACGTTGTTAATCTATTTTTCTCAAAAAAACAAAAAAGACAAAACAAGCCTATAACCCCATCTTTCCTGGACACACCATCGATATATAGAAATGGACTGCACATCCGAATGCAAAGCGTGGATACGCAGATGAGAGAGAAGGGAAACTAAGAGGCAAGCGCTCTCTCTATAGCGCTCGTGTTGGTCGCACTGGCACAGCAATATCGATTGTATGCGATCAACAGAAGTGCGATACGAGAGAGTGCATGCCTCTTAGTTTTGCCCTCAAGCTCACCTGCAGCATCCGCCCTTAGCATAGGCATGCGCAATCCATTTCTGTATATCGATGAAAAAAACTCAGTGATTTGTAAAAGTGTATCAGACTGGAGATGATGCCCTGAAATTCACGTTAATCTGCTAGATAAACTCCCTGGGTAAAATATTTCCCTTGAACATGCGGGTAGTAGTCACAAATTCAAATCTCCGGAAGATAGATCATTTAACACTTAGGCCCATTTCACAAACGACTAATGATCAGTCCTGATGGTCTATCGGACTGATCATCAGTCGCAGTATCTGGCTTTCACATCCATGCATTTGATCAGTCGCAAAAATGGAAATGCAGAGCGAGAAGCAACGGGTTGTGGCCGCTTTGTGCTTTGCTGCTCCCAAGCAGTACATCCCGATTTTTTTATAATGTGGTGATCCCGTATCCCAAATTATTCTTACCTCTTCGACGGCACTAATATTAATCGTTCATATGGAAAGGTAAGCTTAAACAATGGCCCTGTCTCATCAGGACAGATCACCAGCATACAATCAGATACCCTACCTCTGAGAAGCTCAACCTGGTCAACTACTTGCGCTTCATGAGCGTGAATAGATGGCCACTCGGCTTATTATGAAGATGCATTAGCATGAACCAACAAAATCTGCATTTCTAGATCCTTTGCATTTAATATGCTCACTTGCCTCACCTGACGAGTCGTCACTGGCAATAACCCCTGCAGGTAGTTTCAAAACACAAAGTGTGTTCATAAAGCATAATTTCCATTAAATAATTTCACTCGGAAATTCAAACTTGCAAAAAATCAATAAAAACCGAGTAGGTAAACATCACTTAACAAGGGAAGCGTCGCTTAGGTGACGTTCAATCCGCTATGAATCATGGCCGACAACGGAAATTTCTAGCAGCCCTATCTTTCGTTTATAGAATAAGACTGAATAAAAACTTACATTCATAGGTTGTCGACGAAAACCGCCGCCGCCGCTAAATCGGTTTCCACCACCTCGGCGACCGCCTTGAAAGCCCTGGCCCTGGCCATGGCCACCGCCACCGCCGCCGCCATAGTGGTGCGGATGATGCTGCTCAACGATTGCATCTTCGTTTTGTTGTTCTGGTTGATTTCCATTTTCGTTTGAATTTTCTTGTTTGGCAGGGGAAGGCTCTGCAGTTGCGGTTGACATTGCAAATAATTTCTGTAAACACTACAATCCTAACACTAAATTTACAACAAGCGGCTGATAAATTACTGAAATTACAACACTTTCTACGACGAAGGAATGAACTGTTGGAGGTCGCTGTCGCTGGTCGATAGCCGGTTTGCGGTTGCGCAGTTATTTGAGCAGGGTTGCCAATCATAGAAATGGACTTATTGTAATTATACAGGGTGGTGCCTAGCGCGACGCAGCATAGGGATTTCAATGGTAATTTCTTTATAGTCAATTACTAGCTCTCCTAATTATTTTAGAGCAAATGTGTAAATACGTCTTTTTTAGAGAAAAAAATACTGCATCTGTTCATACTTTTAGTTATAATTTTCTATTTTTCAAAACCGTAGAAATCGAAAAAATAAAAAAATTACATTTTTATAAATCAGTGATGCTTTGGAATCTTTTAACAAACTACAAGCGCATCGCATCTAAATTATCGTTGTTTGACGTCGAACGATTTTCATATTTAATTCTGTTTCAACTAACCGACGCAATAAAAGGCATCAGGGTAACGTTTTTTTAAGGAATGTATGGTGCATCTGCATCAGATACTATTTGTTTATCATTTTCCGGAATCAGAGTACCTACATAATCGAAGAAAAAAAACTGATTTGAAGAAGATTTATTCCTAAACTTATATTCGGATTTTCCGCTACTGCAGCCAAAACGTCGAATGTATTGTCGTTTTACTGATGGTTTTGACGGACATTTTGAACGTTATTGCACTTGCAGTTCTTTAACTAACTTATAAAAAAGTATAAATTTAATATACGTCAAAGGCAAATAATGAAACGTGATCGCTGTTTTTTTTAGGTAATTTCAAGGCATATTTGATTTATTGTAAAATGAACCTTTTTATTTTGGCGATTTCTACGGTTGTGAAAAACGGAAAATTAAAAAAAATAGTATGAACAGATGCAGTATTTTTTTCTCTAAAAAAACGTATTTAGACTTTTGCTCTAAAATAATTAGGGGAGCTAGTGATTGACTATAAAGAAATTACCATTGAAATCCCTATGTTGCGTCGCGCTAGGCACCACTGACCACCTGGTATACAGGATCACCCATATCGAATGGTAATGTTTGAATAACTTTTGTGTTATTGCAGATCTTAAGATTAAAAGACCTTTTTCGCTCGTTTTTTTTACTGTAATTGAGGAAGAGCACACAGGATGGATAGAAATACTCGATAAGTATATAAATACGGTGTCAGTAAGGAAGGGTCTAATATGAAGGGTGCTCCATAATAATATAAGTACGACTAAAGCACATTTAAAGGGTATATTCTGTAAAAAAAATGAATTATAAATACGGTGTCAGTAAGGAAGGGTCTATTATGAAGGGTGCTCCATAATAATATAAGTACGACTAAAGCACATTTAAAGGGTAGATTCTGTAAAAAAATGAATAATAGTTTGCTAAATAAACCATGCTCTAAAAATGTTCTTTTACGAAAGTACACACTGTATAAGAAAAACAGAAAAATATAGTGAATGCTTTGGCTTTGGCAAAGATATACCTATAGAAGATAAGAGTGAATTAGGTAGGTATAACTGTATAAGTCCATGAAGTTAACTAGGGCATTAAATATCACCATAGTAACTTATTATTTGCAGGTCATTGAAAATTAGAAACGTCAATTATTAATTGTCAATACCTACTAAATCACAAGATTGGCCTTATTTCGAATAGTTTCTGGAACTTCTTCCTCATTCACGATGAATTGAATTATTTAAAATTACGTTTGACGTTGGATGGTTTCAATCACGTATTCACGCTTCGAACATTTATTGTAATTGTTTTCGTTATTTATTTTCTTCTTTTCTTCATTTATGTATTGAATAGATCAAATTAGTAGAATACCAGGTGCACATGACCTACAAATAATTGAAGGTTGGTTCACAATGAGTTGTGGTGTCAGTGCGTGGCCTGTGAGGTCTTAAGTTTAAGAAAAATGTATCCTAAAGTTGCTATGGCCTCACATGGCTTCTTTAAAAAAATCTTACCTATAAGAAACAAGGGCTATACGTTGTGCACATACACCGTGTGTGCATTTTCAAGTACACAAAAAACATTGCTAATTTTAGTCGCAAATCGATGCAACTCTTCGAATTTTCTAACGAATGGTCTCCGATTTTCCAATGAAACCTGACACATCGATCTCCACAACGGCAAAGTTCCGGATGGAATTCTTATAAAATGCGCTAAAAATTGAAATGTTAACGTTTAAATAGGGTATAGGTATTTCAATCAATAAGTACTTTTGATGCTGTTTATTTGCCATTTGTCATTGTACATAATTATATAACATATAATTTTTATACTTTCATGTATTACAGCGTGTTATCTCCTTCTTCGTGCCAATAGATATTGATTCGTCTATTGTATCGGGTAGTTTGACATCTTTAGTTTCGGGAAATTTCAAGCACAACACCCCCGACATTAGCGAAGTAATTCCAAAGAGAATTAGAGGAAGAGGTTTCCAAATCAATTCCTGAAATAGCAAAATGCTGTTGTTATTGACTCTTACCTAATGTGATATATTATATTGTCCGGGTCGAAGAACAATTTGACAAGAGCTTTTTTATTAAATTTATTATGACGGTTTTTTATAATTTTTCTAACAACCTTATTTCTATGGCAACATTTTTTAATAATTCAGTGAACTTGATACAAATAAATACAACATTTCTCCACCCTAGTAATTGCCTCTCTTCCAACAATTACTACTGAAGATCAAGTACAATGAGTTTGGACAGCGCTCTTCGGTATACCTTTCCATTCCCATCCTTGACGTCAACTATACGAATTCTACCATCTTTGGCAGGATACGTTTTAACTACTCTTGCTTTTCGCCAATCATTTCTTGTTCCATTTGGATCAACAATTATAACAATGTCATCAACTTTGATATTCTTCTGTTCTTGATACCATTTGGACCGTTTAATAATTGTTGGTAAATAGTCATCAAGCCATCGCTTCCAAAAGAAGTCTGCCAAACGCTGAGCTGACCTCCAACTGTTCATAAGATTAAGATCTCGATTGTCAGTAGTCACAGTCCAAGGTTGTGCTACAAAATCTGGTCCGATCAGGAAGTGATTTGGTGTTAGAGGTTCAGAGTCATGAGAATCGGAAGAAACGTGTGTCAGAGGTCTGGAATTCAATATATTTTCGCACTCTATGAGGAAGGTTCTGAGTATATGTTCTTGAGGATACCTAGTATTCAGAATTTCCTTTAATATCTTCTTTATGCTTTGAATTTGCCGCTCCCATATGCCGCCCATATGTGGTGCATGTGGAGGATTAAAATGCCATTTAATTCCTCGCAAAGAACAAAATTCTATTATTTCATTTTGTTGTAAATTGTCAAGATGTTGCGAAATTTCCCTTTCAGCCCCTCTAAAGTTCAATCCATTGTCACTATGGATTTCGTGAGGAAACCCACGTCTACAACCAAATTGCCGGAGTACATTTATAAAAGCATTAGTCGTGGGGTCATGAGCAATTTCTAAGTAAACTGCCCTGGTTACTAAACAAGTGAAAATAACTCCATACCTTTTCTCTCTGCTTCTCTTCACTGCAACTTCAAAAGGTCCAAAATAATCCACTCCACATTTTATGAATGGTCTGATTGTTGGTTCTATTCTGCATGACGGTAATTGTCCCATAATTGGTATCATGGGATTGGCTCGCCTATTGCTACATTGCTGACAATTATGGAAAACATTTTTCACTGCTTGTCTCATACGTAAAATCCAAAATTTACATCGTAATTTGTTGAGTACTATTTCTTGTCCAAAATGATATGCATTTTCATGATAATGTTGAATTATCAGTTTAGTTATTCTATGTTTCGGGTCTAATATTATCGGATGTTTCGTATCGAAATTCAAAGATGAAGAATTATTCAATCGTCCATCTAGCCTCATCAACTTGTCCTCTTCTCTGAACGTACAAGACAATGAAAAGAGGCGACTCGTTTTCTTGATTATTTGACCTTGTTGTAACATCTTGTATTCTTCTAGAAAAGATTCCATCTGTACCTTTCGATAAAGAATAATTTCAGCTTCATACAACTCTTCAACGGTAATTTCGTTCCGGATGAAAACTTTTGCTCGTAGTATGTTTCTTACTCGGATTATGTAGGCTGTAGCTCTAAGAAGTCTCGTCCATTTTGAAAATCTTTCAGGATTAGGAATATCAGGGATCAAATCTTGTGCTGAAAAGTTGATGCAAGTATACTCCAGTCTTTTCATTTCTAAATTGTCCGAATCAATTTTCAAATCATGTTCGATTTCTCTTGGCCATTCCTGGGAATTCAATAGTAGAAACTTTGGCCCACATATCCACCTAGAATCTGCTGATACTGAGGAGTTGATAACATATTTCGTCGCTTCGTCCGCAACGTTGTCTGAAGATCTAACATATTTCCAGTCAGTTACACATGTTAATTCTTGAATTTCACCTAGTCTTTGGGCTACAAATACTTTAAAACGTCCAGCTTCCGATCGAATCCAATGGAGAACTGTTTTTGAATCAGTCCAATATGTCGTGGATGAAATATTCAAGTTTAAATTCTTCATTAGATAGTTACCTAAGCGTGCACCCATTAATGCCCCTTGAAGTTCCAACCTTGGTATTGACATAGGTTTTAAAGGAGACACTCTTGCTTTGGCATTTACGAAACTGACCTGTACTTCATTTCCATATTGTATTCTCAGATAAGCTACTGAAGCATAGCATCTTTCTGAAGCATCGCAGAATATGTGCAGCTGCAAATGACTTGAACTCCTATCGAATGTGAAATATTGTCGTGGTATCTTGAAATTATACATTTTCTTCAATTCCTCAATCCATATGTTCCATTTATTCGCCAAGTTATCTGTAATTTCGTCGTCCCAACCTAACTGGCTCCTCCAAACATCCTGTATCAGCATCTTACCTTGAATCAATATGTTTGTCTTTGTAATAAATCCCAGTGGATCAAAAACTGACATTACAATTTTCAAAATCTCCCTTTTCGTCGGTCTTCTTATATTTTCCAACAAATCCTTTTCAATTTTGTGGAATTTGGTTTTGAACTCGAAAGTATCATTAATTGGGTTCCAAAATATGCCAAGTACTCTTTCGATATTCTTATCGTTTTCATTTCTCAAAGTTTTCATTCCATCGGCCACTAATTTGGAATCAATATGGTCAATAATTTTGATATCATTCGCAATCCAATTGCAAATCTGAAAACCTGCCTTACTGTGTATATAAATCACATCTGCAATTAATTTATGGGCTGCTTCAATTGTGTCTGCTCCACCCAAATAGTCATCCATGTAATGTTTCTCTATAATATCGTGAACAGCATCTGGATGAGTCAGTTTAAACTCTTGCGCATTCTTATTCTTAGCTTCCTGAGCTAAGCAAGGACCACAAGTCGATCAAAAGAAAACAACTTCGATTTCATAAACGTCAGGTTCTCTCGTTCTATCCGTCTCTCTGAAAAGGACGCGTTGTGCACTACAGTCGTCTTTTTTAACGTGAACTTGTAAAAACATCTCTTTAATGTCAGCTGTGAACGCATATCTGCAGATCCTGAAGTTAATTAGTATATTAAAGAGAGAGTTATATTTGTCCGGACCTGTCAATAAAAAATCGTTCAAACTGACAGCATTACTCTTGGCAGAAGCATCGAAAACAATTCGTAATTTATCAGGTTTATTTGGATTAATTATACCAAAATGAGGTAAATACCAGACTTTGAATTGATCTCCACATATCTCACTGTTGTTCAATTTTCGTATATACTTCTTTTTCACCAGTTCATCGAATTTCTGACAATGTCTTCTGCCATACTGTTCATTTTTGTCCATTTTTCTTTCAGTGCAAATAAGTCTTCTCACTTGCTTCCGGAAAGTACTACATTTTCATCTCTCCAGAAGAGTCCGGTTTCAATTCTTCCTCCTGATCTTGTCATGGTTCTATCTATTATGGTTCTATCTATTATAGACTGAGCGACCATTTCTTCTTTGGACATTGCTTTTTCAAGCTTATATACTCCAGACGAGTCTATTTGCCATTGTTGTTTAACTAAGTCATGTAAAACATCCAAGTCATCCTTATCTTCACTACTCATGTGACATACGTGACTAGTAGTATGCTTGTTTGAAAATGTGTTAGCAGTCTGGCTTACATTTCCATGAAGTACCCTTCCCAGCAGTGTCTTGCTTAAGGCAGGGCCATTCCAAGGTCCAGAAATAATCCTTTTGTTAACTAGTAGGGGCCAATTGTCCTGTCCGAAGGTGCTACCTTAGGTTTTGCATTTGTCATAGACAAAACCACATTACCTAAGTAACGAAATCTTTCCATCATTTCTGAACTATTA